AATTGTCTACAAATTCGCCTATTAGAAATTAAAAACAAATTTACGTACGCGTGTAAACAAACAAACGAGTTTACACGATCCGGCATCGTTGTTTACAAGACAAACCTGTGGAAAACAATGCGTGGAATGTATGCTTCACAACAAATGGCGCAATGTCGCGTCCAGGTATTTTTAACGTTTTTGATCCATGTATATATATGATCTAAGGGTATAGGAGTTTACACGTTTTTTAGTATTTTTACGCACAGCAGCTAAACTCAATAATTTCAAATTGCACGTTTCTTATGTAACACCCTGTATACAGTATACACTTTATTGAACTTTGTGTTGGCAGTGGCACCAGAGTCTCAATTCCCCTAATAGGTTAAAAAAAACCCTAAAACGAATAATCAAAAATGTTTTGCATTTCTGTTGTGAAACTTTCGTAAATAAGAAAGTCTCATAATTTGATCATTCCTATCGATCACGCAATGGGAGACAATCAAGAGAAGGTCGGTAAAGAGCATTTAAAAATAAATTCAAACTTAACCTCCATTTTTGACTTGTAGAGATCGGCCCCCGTCAAGTACGACTGGTACCAAACCGAGGCTACAGTGGTCATAACAATTCTAGCAAAGAACGTAAACTCCGATACAACCGCAATTAACTTTACAAATGACACCGTTAGCGTCAACCTATCACTGCCGGACAATTGCACGCACGCTAGGGAAATTAGAGTAGCGCACGACGTGAACCCCGACCAGTGCACATTTAAAGTGACTCAAACGAAGGTCGAGGTGAAATTAAAGAAAGCGGAAGGTATTCGTTGGGAACACCTGGAACGCTCAGAGGATGATAAAATACTCAAACAAATACCGCAGGATCCCTCCGCTTCGAGCGGGCCCCCGTCGTATCCCACCTCGAAACCGGGTAAGGATTGGACGGCGATCGAACGCGACATCAATAAGCAAGAGTCTAGCGAAAAGCCGGTGGGAGAGGAGGCACTAAATATGCTTTTTCAAGATATTTACGGCAAAGGTAGCGATGATGTGAAGCGCGCAATGGTGAAAAGCTACGTAAGTGAATTTGAAATGACACGTTGCATAATAAAGTTTAATTGCAGATGGAAAGTGGGGGCACGGTACTCAGTACGAATTGGAACGAAATCGGTAAAGGACACGTCGACGTTAAACCACCCGACGGAATGGAGTGGAAGAAATGGGATTCGTAATTCCGAAGTGTACTTCGATTTTTATTGTTAGAGTTGTATTCAGCTTATAAAATTAACCAAAAACGCATTTCAATAATATAAAACCGAGTAATGCCGCTATCCCACCTACGCCTAGAATGATCTGCGAATCTGAAGGCTCGGTGCTCGTTACGGCTTTACTGTGAACTATCGCCTGTAGTACCATCGCAGTTTCCCTATGATTTTGATTAATTACATTTAAAAGCGTCGAATTATCTAATCGATTCAATAACTCCCTTTGATTGTTACTAATTAACGTTAAAAGTTGCTTGTCCCTATCGATTACACCGGAAACATTACGCATCTCTTTCAGACCTTCTTGTAATTGCAATTGGAGAACCGACGCGCTCAAGTCACCGTTATCTACGCGTAATCGTTCATCAATGAACCTCTTCAAATCTTGCTTTCGCAACGTGGAGTAGGCGAACGTCAAGAAAGAACCGACCAGGCTGAGAATCAATCCGAAATATTTCGTGTACTCCAACTGGGCGCGCTGTTTCTCGTGCGAGTCCTTCACCGCATTCGTAAACGCGGTAAAGATCTCGCGCTCCTCTCGATCGCATCCGTTAAAAGTGTCCGTTACGGACAGCTCCTGCTTTAAGATCTCCGTCTCCTCCTTCATCAAATCGAGAAATCTCTGCAGGTCCTCCTGTCGCTTCACCTTGTGGATCTGCTCTTGCAGCTCGTTCGACTTGCGCCGCACCTCGGAGAGCTGACGGCCGATCTCGCGACGTTTCTCCTGAACGTCGAGGAGCTTCTCCTAAAGAAGCGACGATAACTCAAACGCCGGTGACCAACTACTCACTTGTAACGTTATCACACGCTGCTGGTAAAACTTCACCTCGTCGAGACCCAATATTCTCGTGTACCAGGCGTTCGCTTCGGCCGCCTTCTTGTAGATGATCTCCTCCTTTACGTGGTTTACGTACTTTGGAGCCTCGGCGGCGCCCCACTTTAACTGTTCGCGAAGTGCTTGATTAACTGTATTTAAAGCGGCTATCACTTTCGTTTTTGCGTTCATAATTAGAGATTTCAACTTAAACCTAAGGGACTTTTTAATTACTGAGCATAAGTGCTGTTTCGTATATGAGCCATAAAATAGCAATTACATAAGTTAAAATACATATCTTTATAAATATTGCATCGATGTTTAAATAAAAATTAGGTTATGTTATGAATTATATGTTACGCCACTGGTTCATTCAAAAATCTATACCGTAGTAGGTACCTTTTACATACAAATTACATATTACCCATACAAGAGAAAGGTGAACGTGAGAAAGTGTTTTCCAAAGTCAACCTCCGATACTCTACGCTTTGCGAAGGGGCGAGGAGGTACTAGGTAGGGAAATAACATGGGAAAAATGAATATTTAATGAATTATTGTAAATATTTGGTCTCTTGCACCGGTTTTTCACTTTCACTTATCAAAAACTCTAGAATTATTGATGATATTTTCAGAACCCTAACAAAGGTTTTGACGCAATAAGCGCCGGGTGGTTGCGTGAGTGGTTCTACGCAAACTTCAGACTACATTAACCCAGCAACATTTAAAATGACCCCCAGAATTGTTGTTCCCCCAAATGCCAAACAGATCCCCTTTAAATTTGAAATCCTAAAGTGGCACGTCAAACATCTAAATCAAGTCTCCCTTCCGTTAGTTGCAAACAACGCTTTGACCTGAAGTAGATCAGTAGGGAAGGAACACAAAATAAAAGGTCAACAGTTTGTTTAATAATTATTGTTTTCATTATGAAGATTCTGAAAGCCAGAAAATTTAGTTGATGTACGTTAACGTTAAAAACAGAACAAGCAAAGCCTAAAAGGTGCCCTACTCTCGAAAAAAAGACAACTGCCAAGGATAAAAAGAGTACGACTGAGAAAAACCTTGACATTTTACAGCAGAAGAATTAATTCATTCACACAAATTTGGTTACACTTAAAACAAGTTTTGGGACCAATGGGTCAGGTAAACAAGTACCAAAATTCTGAGATAGGGTAAAGCGCATATGAAGTGACTCATCTTTAGTGCAATAACGTCTTTTCTAAGAAAATTGATGGAAAATTATATGATCTCGCTGGTCAAATCAAATTAATGACAAAATATGTAGAAATCAGTTCATCGCAACACATGTATCGCACATAGATTCTAAACCGACGAGTTTTTGTTAGCAGAATCGCGCCCCCGAGATAGGTAACTCGCCCTCCTCCAGGGTATCGGAGCATACAGTTGAGACTCGATAACAGTCCCGGCATTAGGTGTCGTAACTAATGCACTTAATTGGTTATTTGCCATCCACGTAGCCGCCTCATTTACGGACTTTGGAACTTCGATAACTTCCACATACATAGCATATTTTTTAAGTAACCTACGTTTTGAAATTTCTCGTCTGCAGAGTTACGGATGGCGTTTCTCGCATGAACCCATTCGATAGTGTTAAGGTGTTTTGTGCAAGTGTTTAAAATGTCACGAACGTGGAACAACAGGGTTCCAGACCTGTGTATACGACCGTGGTCACAAACTGGGCGTCGATTCCCGAAGATGTGCTTTGTTCACATCGACTGACCTTGAAATGAACGTGAATGTCACTGCATTCTCGAACCTACCACATCGAGCGAAAAGTTGATCGAACGCAACGACTGGTCTAGACCTTTCGTTGCGTGAAAGTCATGCGCAGTTGCAGCTACAGGACGGATCTTGCAGCTGTTTTGCTATAGAGGCTATTCAGTGCCCTAACCTATAATTTATAGGCTATAAATTCACATATTTTCTGTGAAATAAAACATGGAATTGTTCGAGGATTTTCTGGTTTAATTTAATTAATAGCAGTATCCATAATGCAAAAACAAAACAAAATACAAAACTGACAAATGACAGTTCAATTCTTGTCTGTGATTGGTTAGCGCATAAAGTTTGTCCACGATTCGGGAATGCAGCCTGAACTTGAACTTATCCCTATCCTATACGATCATGACGTCATAGACGCCGGTCACATCACATGCACATCACGGAGCATATCGACTAACTTCGGGAATCGATGCCCAGGAGGCTAAGATCATTACAGCCTATCACGCAATTCAAATGTGATTATCATCTTTGAAATTCTTGCGTTTCTAGGTTCGACTTCAGAAGCAGTGTTGGGTATATCGTTTTTACCGCATTACAAAATAATTCAAAGATTACGCTGTTTTCTGCCTGTCTGTCTGTGTTTATTGTATTGTGTGATATTCATCTGCTACATTGATCATATAGGCATCAACTGAAAGCTTATAGATATAAAGTCCAGCAAGGAGTGACCCCCCCCCCCCAACAATCGTTCGCTCTAAAAGTGATCAAATCAAGAATAGAATAAGAAATTTGAACTCTTTTTTTCAATAAACGATAGGGAACTCAAAATGTTCACCAGCTTCTTCTAAAATATAGGGCGGCAAACCTTGATCGCGCCCCGGGCGCCACCAAGCTACGCTACGCCACTGCGTGGAAGCCCGACTGCGGCACTAAAGGTCCATGGTTCGAATCCGGGTTCGGGCATTGATATTTGTAATTGCCCCGCCCACTTACGAGCCAAAATTTAAAAAAAAATTAAGAAATTGCGTCTCTGAATAAACGCCAAAATATGACGAAAGCGCATTTTGAAGGTAATTGGGTGGCGAAGGGGTGGAGGGGTACCATCAAAAGCGTAACGTGTGTACTCACTTTATAAGATAAAAACTGATAGTGGCAACACCATAGACACAGACTGTGGCTTCAGTAGCTACAAAGGCAACTAGACAACACCGCCTTCTGTCAAAAGTTTTCGGTGCATTTAATGTTTTGTACAGTTTTTCAACAATTCTATTTATTTATGCCGGATAATGAATGGTTTGTAACAAATTAAAGACAATGGCAATTAATTATGTGTCTACCACCAGCTTGCAATTGATTTAAAGCGGTTATTGTGCACCATAACCTCACAATTTGTAAGTACGTACTGATTTACCTTTTGATTATTGTCCTGTCGGTCTCATTCGCCTCCCACTGAAATACTCGGCCTCACTCATTCAGCAACAACGACTTGAGAAAATTTATTTGGTAAAAATATCAAAACACATCCCTTGAAGATGCTAATAAATGGTACGGATTGTACGAACAGTCTTTTAAAATGTTTTTAAGTAAACATACTGGTATGAGAATTACCATTAACATCTACAATAACTTAAAGTCTACTTTAAAAACCTGATCAGTCTATTCTTTCTGAAATTACACAGTAACTATAATAATAAAAAAGAAGAGAAATTGAACGCGTTGCAGCGGCTCTCGTCCTCCCTCCGAAAACACGTCGGCTAAGTAGTAAACTCTTATCCTACCACCACGTTTTCACTTTCCTCACGACCGTTACTCCTATTAATACAAGTTTGATCACATCATTTACGGCCTCCGAACACCTCCTGCGACGCGTACGTTATGTACAGGAAACCGTCGGTGCACGCGTACTCGGTGTAAACCTCGGCCAGCGTTAACGACAGACTGACCAGCGATTTATTGTTGACGAGGAGGTAGAGGGCCTGCGACGATCCGACGTGCATGCGGTTTCTGAAAGGGAAATTTTCCCGTAAGCACGCACGGTACGGCGAAGAGGGGCCGACTTACCTGATGATCGTGAGGAATTGCGACATTGTGATTTCTTGGGGGACTAGAAATTTCGACTTGTCCAGTTGTGGTAGGTAGTTTTCCTTTGTGAACCTTTGTACTATGATCTGAAAAAAGGATCTGGGTAATTTCAGTCGATCAAAGATGGCGCTTGTGCCTCTATTTTGTCACTTTGTCTTTAGTGTTTTTGAAACCGAAAGTTTGTCAAGTATCAGGCCCCGAAAATGCCATAGATTACCCATTTTCCTATGTCAATAACTATTAGATACATATCAATAAATAATACCAAGGAGGGCGTTCTTTTCTATACATCTGGTATTCTGTGGTCTCGTCTGTGGTACTCCGTATCTATTCTGTGGTACGGTATTTTTCAATATTCCATTCAGTTTTTCCAAGGAGATCATTCTGGAATAAAATGCGGACGGGTTTTTGGATAGATCAGTAGGTATCAAAAAAGGTTTCAATATTTTCAGGTGTCAATTTTTATTTTTGGGGTTGAAGAATTCTGAGGTATCAAAAAAAATCCTAGAATTATTAAGAGCTGGGTACTGCTCGCGAGCGTTTCGCTTGAAAAAGCGCTCCAAGCGGAAAAACTTTTCGGAGCGGCCGCTTGGTGCTCGATACTCAAGCGTTTACTTAAAGTGCTCGGCGCTCGAGCGCTTTTTCCTGTCCGCTCTCAAGCGCTGAAGGATTAAGCCCCGCTCGCGAACGTTTTTTCCGCTCGAGCGCTTTTTTCACTCACGGGCACTTTTCCCGAGCGCTCGCGATAAACGGCCCGAGCACTTTTAGGAGTGCTCGGAACTCGCAAGCGGTTTCGCTTTACAAAACAGCTCGATGCTCGCGAGTATTTTTGAGGCAATTAGAGCACTCGTCGCTCGAGCGGCTTTTTAGAACGCTCGACTCAGCCCTGAGCTGCATGAATCTTGCAGAATCAAGCATCTGGAAAGACCTTTTAGGATATTCCCGAGGATATTCCTGAAGGATATTAAACTGGATGTAAGGAATCCTGAGGTATAAAAAAGAATTTTGTAGAATACCAAGGAGTCAAGCTCCTGGAAAGGTCTTTTAGGATATTCTTGAAGAATATTAAATAGGGGTTTAAGGATTTTGAGTAGAAAATCCTGAGGCAGCAAAAAAACCCTGTAGGATTAATCAGAGCTGTAAGAATCTTGCAGATACTAAAGGAGTCAAGCGTCTGGAAACGCCTTTTAGTATAATCCCGAGGATATTCCTGAAGAATATTAAATTGCGTTTAAGGATTTTGAGTAGTAAATCTTGAGGTATCAAAAAAAACCTGTAGAATTATGAGGAGCTGCGAGAATCTTGAAGAATACTAAAAGACTTATGTGTCTCAAAAGGCCTTTTAGGATATTCCTGCAGAATATTAAATTGCGTTTAAGGATTTTGAGTAGAAAATCTTGAGGTATCAAAAAAACCTGTAGAATTATGAGGAGTGCTAGAATCTTGAAGAATACTAAAAGAGTTAAGTGTCTCAAAAGACCTTTTAGGATATTCCTGAAGAATATTAAATTGCGTTTAAGGATTTTAAGTAGTAAATCTTGAGGTATCAAAAAAAATGTAGAATTATGAGGAGCTGCTAGAATCTTGAAGAATACTAAAAGAGTTAAGTGTCTCAAAAGACCTTTAGGATATTCCTGCAGAATATTAATTGCGTTTAAGGATTTTGAGTAGTAAATCTTGAGGTATCCAAAAAACCTGTAGAATTATGAGGAGCTGCTAGAATCTTGAAGAATACTAAAAGAGTTAAGTGTCTCAAAAGGCCTTTTAGGATATTCCTGAAGAATATTAAATTGCGTTTAAGGATTTTGAGTAGTAAATCTTGAGGCAGCAAAAAAATCCCGTAGGATTATTCAGAGCTGTAAGAATCTTGCAGATACCAAAGGAGGTAAGCGTCTGGAAACGCCTTTTAGGATATTCCTGCAGAATATTAAATTGCGTTTAAGGATTTTGAGTAGTAAATCTTGAGATATCACCAAAAATACTGTAGGATTATTAAGAACTTCAAGAATGTTGCAGAATACTAAAGGAGTTGAGTGTCTTGAAAGGCATGTTAGGATATTCTTGAAGAATCAAGAAACCTTCGAGGGGATTTTGGACTAGGATTTGGGAGATTTGAAGGAGCCCATTTGGATAAATTTTAAGATTACAAAAAGATGATATTGCTGAAAGGTAAATTATGCGCCGTTTTGCCCTTTGAGAATACATTTGTGTTTCAATATACTAAGAGTGGCTCAAACTTCGCGCTACAATAGCAATAACTCGACGCAAATCAATTTTTTTCGTGACGCTCATTATGCGCCATTGAATAAATGTAAAACTACCCAAATTTTGCGTGACCTTCTGGACAACTCGGCTTTTTTCCTCATTGTGAGGTTAGGTGCGAGTTTTGTGCCACAATAGCAAATCAAAAATTTCTTAAGTTGGCATTAAGCGCAAATTATGCGCCGTTTGTTTTTTTCCTAATGGGCGCAAATTGTATTTCCAAGGCGCATAATTCGCGCTTACTGTCTGATTTAGAAACATTTAATTTTGCGTGGAAATCTACGTCATTGACTATACTTCACTTATCTTTTTTTAATGGGCGCAAAATTTAAAACTGCGGATACTTTGCGCATGGTGTTTGAAAAAGGAAAAGCTGAGTTAAAACGGAAATCTACGCCAATGGACTTTACCGGATTTACGCTTTTGTTATTTATTATAATGGGCGCAAACATTTCCAAGGCGCATAATTCGCGCTTACTGTCTGATTTCGAAACTTTAATTCTTTTTTCCAGTTAATGGGCGCAAAATTTAAAACTGTGCATACTTTGCGCATGGAGTTTGAAAAAGGAAAAGCTGAATTAAAATGGAAATCTACGCCAATGGGCTTTACCGGATTTACGTATTTGTTATTTATTACAATGGGTGCAAATCGAGGTGCAAATGTTTCCAAGGCGCATAATTCGATTTTACTGTCCGATTTCGAAACTTCAATTCTTTTTTCTTGTTAATGGGCGCAATATTTTAAAACTGCGCAAACTTTGCGCATGGTGTCTGAAAGAGAAAAAGCTGAATTAAAATGGAAATCTACGCCAATGGACTTTACCGGATTTACGCTTTTGTTATTTATTATAATGGGCGCAAATATTTCCAAGGGGCATAATTCGCGCTTACTGTCTGATTCCGAAACTTCAATTCTTTTTTCTTGTTAATGGGCGGAAAATTTTAAACTGCGCATACTTTGCGAATGGTGTTTAAAAAAGAAAAAGCTGAGTTAAAATGGAAATCTACGCCAATGGACTTGACGGGATTTTCGCTTTTGTTATTTATTATAATGGGTGCAAATATTTCCAAGGCGCATAATTTGCGCCTATTGTCTGATTTCGAAACTTCAATTCTCTTTTCTTATTAATGGGCGCAAAATTTAAAACTGCGCATTCTTTGCGAATGCTGTCTGAAAAAGGAAAAGCTGAGTTAAAACGGAAATGTACGCCAATGGGCTTTACCGGATTTACGATTTTGTTATTTATTATAATGGGCGCAAATATTTCCAAGGCGCATAATTCGCGCTTACTGTCTGATTTCGAAACTTCAATTCTCTTTTCTTGTTAATGGGCGCAAAATTTAAAACGGTGCATACTTTGCGCATGGTGTTTGAAAAAGAAAAGCTGAGTCAAAATGGAAATCTACGCCAATTGACTTTACCGGATTTACGTATTTGTTATTTATTGTAATGGGCGCAAATGTTTCCAAGGCGCATAATTCGCGCTTACTGTCTGATTTAGAAACATTTGATTTTACGTGGAAGTTACGTCATTGGCTACCCTTTAATTACTTTTTTATGTTCATGGGCGCAAAATTTAAAACTGCGCATACTTTGCGAATGGTGTTTGAAAAAGAAAAGCTGAGTTAAAATGGAAATCTACGCCAATGGACTTTACCGGATTTACGATTTTGTTATTTATTATAATGGGGGCAAATATTTCCAAGGCGCATAATTCGCGCTTACTGTCTTCAATTCTTTTTTCTTGTTAATGGGCACAAAATTTAAACCTGCGCATACTTTGGGCATGGTGTTTGAAAAAGGAAAAGCTGAGTTAAAACGAAAATCTACGCCAATGGACTTTACCGGATTTACGCTTTTGTTATTTATTATAATGGGCGCAAATATTTCCAAGGCGCATAATTTGCGCTTACTGTCTGATTTCGAAACTTCAATTCTTTTTTCTTGTTAATGGGCACAAAATTTAAACCTGCGCATACTTTGGGCATGGTGTTTGAAAAAGGAAAAGCTGAGTTAAAACGAAAATCTACGCCAATGGACTTTACC